ATAAATCAACAGAAGAAAATTTGGGAACTTTAAAAATATATAGAAACTAAGTAACATGCTTCTAAATAACCAATGAAGAAGAAATAATAAGGGAACTTAGAAAATATTTTGATCTGAAGGAAAATGAAAACGCAATAAGCTAAAATGTATGAGCTGCAGCTAAAGCAGCATTTAGATGAAAACACTAAACACTGCTTTAGCTATCAACACCTCTATAACAAAAGAAGATCACAAATCAATAATCTAAGCTTCTACCTTGAAAAACTAAAGAACAAACTATACCCAAAGCAAGCAGAAATATTAAAAAGTAGAGCAGAAATCAATAAAGTAGAAAACAGAAAATAGAGAAAAATAAATGAAAACCAAAAGCTGATTCTTTGAAAGGTCAACAAAATTAACAAACCTTTAGCTAGACTGACTGAGAAAGAGAGAAAAACACAAGTTATTAACATTAGAAATGGGGGCTTCCCTGGTGGCACAGTGGTTAAGAACCCACCTGCCAATGCAGGGGACACGGGTTTGAGCCCTGATCCGGGAAGATCCCACATGCTGCGGGGCAACTAAGCCTGTGTGCCACAACTCCTGAGCCTGCAAGCCACAACTACTGAGCCCGTGCACCACAACTACTGAAGCCCACGCACCTAGAGCCCGTGCTCCGCAACAGAAGAAGCCACCGCAGTGAGAAGCCCCGCCGCAGCTAGAGAAAAACCCGCGCGCAGCAACGAAGACCCAATGCAGCCATAACTAAATAAATAAATTTATTTTTAAAAACAATTCCACCCTTAATAGCGTCATAAAGAATAAAATATTTAGGAATAAATTTATCAAAAGAAGATCTATACACTAAAGACTCAAACACACTGATAAATAGGGGAAAGCCCGGAAAAAAATGGAGAGTTATACCATGTTCTTGGCCTAGTAGACAATATTGTTAAGATGGCAACTGTCCTCAAACTGACCAACAGATTCTATGGAATCCCCGTCAAAATCCCAGCACACTTTTCTTGGTAGAAATTGACAAGCTGATTCTAAAATTTATTTGGAAATACAAAGAACTTAAATAACCAACTTAATTTTTTTATATATAGAGAAACCTTCAGTTTCCTAGGTTTCTTGGGGTTTGTTTGTTTTTTTGAGATTTATTTATTATTTATTTATTTTATTTATTTTTGGCTGCGTTGGGTCTTAGTTGCAGCACGCGGGATCTTTTGTTACAACTCACGGGCTTCTCTCTAGTTGCAGCGGGCAGGTTTTCTCTTCTCTAGTTGTGGCGCACAGGCTCCAGGGCACGTGGGCTCTGTAGTCTGCAGCACACAGGCTCTCTAGCTAAGGCGTGCAAGCTCTGTAGTTGTGGCATGTGGGCTTAGTTGCCCCACAGCATGTGGGATCTTAGTTCCCTGACCAGGGATAGAACCCGCATCCCCTGCATTGTAAGGCAGATTCTTTACCGCTGGACCACCAGGGAAGTCCTGCCAGCTTAATTTTGAAAAAGAAAAACCAAGTTGGTTCTCATGCTACCCAATTTGAAAACTTACCATAAAGCTTCAGTAATCAAATCAGTGTGGCATTGGCATAAGGATAGTTATATGGATCAATGAAACAGAAAAGAGAATCAAACAAACAAACACAAAAAAAAGAAAAGAAAAAAGGAAAAGAAGAAAAAAAGAGAATCCAAAAATAAACTTATACATTTATGATCAACTGATTTTCAACAAAGGTAATTCAACAAGCAAAAAGACAATGTTTTGAACAAATGGTCTTGGAACAATTCCATTTTGGAAAAGTTTTGCCATTTCTTAAAAAGTTAAGCATAAACTTACTGTACTACCCAATAATTCCACACATAGGTATTTACCCAGAAGAAAATGAAACATATGTTCACACAAAAACTTGTATGGACAAGTTTTATTTATCATTTTATTCATAATAGCTAAAAACTGGAAACAATCTAAATGTCCATCAACAAGGGATAAACAATAAAAACATTCCTCAACAATAAAAAGGAGTGAACTACTAATGCATGCACTAACATGGATGAACCTCAAAAGTATAAGTAAAAGAAGCCAAACACGTAAGACTACATATTATATAATTTTGATTATTTGGAATTTCTAGAGAAGACAAAAGAATAGTGACAGAAAACAGATCAGCAGTTGTCTGGGGTGGGGAGTCACAGTAGAGGCTGACTACAATGAGGCAGAAGGAACTTTCCAGGGACGGGGGTGGGGTGGGGGAGACGGAGGCGAGATAGAAAAATTTTAAAACTGGATTGTGAAGACAGATGCACAGCTCTATAAACTCACTAAAAATTACTGAATTATACACTTACCTTGGGCGAATTTTATGGTATGTGAATTATAACTGCAATTTTTAAAATGTTTTTAAAACTAAGAAAATGAATTTTCATTAAGTTCATAAAGTATTAAAAACTCTGCCATATACAACAGAAAACAAATATGTAAGACAATCTCTAATCCCAAAATGCTCATTATCTAGGTTTAGCTAAGTGACTTGGGAGCAGTGAAGTCATGGCCTATGGCAGCAGAGACAGAAATGAGAAGACAGAGTCTATGGTTGTAGCCAGTTGGCCTTATCCTAATACCTTGAAGAGTAATAGGATGAGATCTTAAAGTCCAATCCACCCACTCTCAGGTAATCAGGCAGCAGAAGTTTAAATGTTGTGGTTAGAACCCAGGGAAATAGCTTTTCCAGCTGAACTCCAGAGGTCTCAGTTCTTACCAAATGAGGGACAGCCTCAAAAAAGCAAAACAATGAATACAACACAATGCCACAGACCAAAAGTTTTATTTGATGTGATGCTGGCTTGCTGCCAAGGGAATATATCCTCGTCAGTACTGGTTGTTAGATATTTTCAACTCCACTAATTTGTATTTGTTGGACACACCCAAATTAGTAGGAAGATTCACCAATGACCTATTAGTAAGTACATGAAGAAAAGCTAAAAAGTTTTAAGAAAACTAAGTTGGACAATAGTGACTGACTGAAGAAAACCCCAACTCTTTCTAAACCATTCTTAGGTTGCTATGAGCTAATATCCATTGAGTTCTTACTAAATGTTAGGTACTGTAAGCACATTTAGATACACGTGCTTATTAAATTCTCAAAAAAACCCTAAGCTGAGGAGATTCTTTTATCCTCTTCCTATGGATGAGGAAACTAAGTGACAAAGAAGTAAAGTGACTTATTCAAGGACACAGTTAAATGAATGGCCAGGCTGAATTTCAACTCATAAGTCAACCTGGAGAAACTATAACAACCACTCAGTAACACTGCTTCCCCGTTTATACGTTTGCCCACTAGAACTATGTCCCTGTTCTGCTCAAAACTCTCTGAGATTTCCCCTTCTACTCAGGGTCAAAGCCAAAGTTCCTACAATGGCCTACAAGGCCCTGTGTATACTGTGGCTTCCCATCACCTATCTCTAACATAATCTATACTGACCCACTGCATTCCAGCCACCTTGTTGTTCCTGGGTCACACGAGACCCGCACCTACCTCAGGGCCTTTGTACCTGCTGTTCCCACTGCCTATAATATTCTTCCCCAAGACATTGGAGGTTTGTTCCCTCATTCCCTTCAAAGCTCTATGCAAATGTCACCTCCTCAGGAAAGCCTTCCCTGCCTACCCTTCCTAACGTAGTACTCCCCACTTTTTAATACTTAATTATATCACCTGGCAATGTTTATTACCTAACTCCACCATCTAGATAGAAGCTCTATGAAAGAGGGACATCTAGGAGTCTGGCTTTGCATCACAAGTGCCTAAGATAGCACCTGGCACAAAGCAGATAATACTTCTTGAATTTAAAAATCTGCCAAATATATTTTGATTCACAACCCAATCATATAACTTTAGGCAATTCACGACGCTTGTACCAATAAAATCCAAACCAAAAGAAAAAAAATGTATCTATCAAAGTAGTCTTTTAGAACCTTTATTTCTATTATTTAAAGTTTGATCTTCCTTAATGTGTATGTTCTGTTTTGATGCCTCGTTTAAATGGTGAATTTTCTTTGAAGTGACTGATGACTTCTATAAACTTTACCACCCCCAAAATTGTTAGATGTGTAAGTTATTAATTAGTTATTGACTGTAGTGATTGTGTCTTGATGGGGAAAATAACCCCAAGTTGCCTGTCCCTCAAGGGAAAATGAAATTCTTAAATGCACAGAGTTCACCTAATACTGTAAAATAAGTAAATAATACATATCAAACTTTAAGATTCAGTGTTCAATTCACATAAGAACCTAATTTCCTAAGTACAGCTAAATAATAACTTTCTGACTCCTGTGACTGAATGCCTCAATGTCTGCCTGTTTAAAAAAGAGTAAAAAGCAGGTTTTAAAATATGTGTCATTTTATTTGGGTCACTTTGGAACACACATATTTGCTTTTCTTTTGGTTAACAGAGCAGTAACTTACAGGACACCATTAGCTCCTTCTAAATAAACTTAGCGCTACCTAGGAGAAGAAGGAAAAGGAAACAGGAATAGGGGAGGGACCACACGGAAAAGTGAGAACAACTTATTTGCCAAAGGACAGGTCTTGTAAGAAGGCGATCACCTCCTTCCGCAGTAGCAGATTTAAAACAAATCTGGAGCGATGGGTAAGGTCCAGCTCTCCAAGTGGTGTTGCAGCAGATCATCTGAAAGCAAATTCTAATGGCATTTGGGGAATGATCGAAAACAGTAGTGGGGCCCCCTCCGTCCTACTCACATCAAGTATCTCCACGCCACTCACCTTCCATTCTAGCGAAGCGGGGAATCATATCCCTGCTTTAAGCAGGTAAGTCGGAGAGAGTCGGATGTCCCTCCCTGCACACACAAACCCTTCGCCCCAGTGCTGTAAAACGCAGTCCACGGAACCCAGTGAAAACCGAAACCCGGGAGGTGCTCCAAGTTCTCTTCGCTTTCTGAGGTTGGAGCCGAGAGGAATGTCACAGAGACAAAGCGGGGAGGAAGGGGGCATCTCCCCCTTACCTTGATGGCTTTCTCCATGTCGCTCTCCTCCCACATGCTCCGCGGGGCCCGCACGGCCGGGAGCAGCGGAGGCTGCGCAGCTGCCGGATCCCGCCGCAGCCGAAGGAACAAGGGGCTCAGCGCTCGGGGCCCTGGGTCTCGGGGAGACGGGCAGCAGCCGCCCCCAGGGACCTGCGGGGATGACGGCCCCGGCGCCGGCTCGGCCTCGGCGGGCGGCTCTAGGCTGGGGGCGGCGGCGGCGGCAGCGGCCCCCGGGAACAAGCCTTTGTGCTGGGCCCCGCGCGGCCGCCTCCCGGCCTCATCCCCGGCCGGGGAGGCAGGCTCCCGGGGCAGGGCGAGGCGGGGAAGGCCCCGATCCGGGGCGATGTGCTGGGGCCTCGCGGGGCCGCCGCTTAGGCCCGGGCTCGCCAGGTCCTGAGTAGGAGCCTGCGCCTCCGCCTCCGCCGCCGGCACCGCCGCGAAGCCGAGGCCGAGCCCGCCGCCGCCGCCGCCGCTCCCGCTGCCGCTTCAGCGCCACACATCGCCGGGACACCCGCGCCGGGCAGCCCCGCCAGGCGCCCGCTTGCCGGCGCTGTGCCCCGCCTGAGCTCCGGGCCGCCTCTCCTGCCGCCCGACTTCGTGTCCCCACGGCTCCACGCGCCCCTCGTCACGGTCAGCTGCGGTTTCCGAGCCGCCCCCGAACCAAGCAGTTGACTTGCAGGCGTCCGCCAAGGCCTCCCCAAGGTGGCGCCACACCCAGGATAGGCCCCCGGGCCCTCCGCAGCTCTGGCGCCGAGTTGATGATGTAAAAGGTTCAGCCTCGCGGGGCGGAGCTATTGGGCCTCAGCACCGGACTCTAGTGGCTGCGGGAGCGTTTCTCTTTTCTCCTAGCGGCGCGGACGAGATTTGTGGCGCCAGAAACACCCTGCGGAAGGAGCCGGGGATATCGACTAGTGATAGAGAAGAGGAAACTGAGGCCACGGGCGGGTCCTACGGTAAAAACAATTATATATAATAAGTTATATATACGGAGCGTTTATTTTACGTGAAGCTCTTTTCTTCTCTTAGTTCCTTTCTCCTTTATAAAGTAGGCATTTGGCCTTTTCAGGTAAGTATGTGCTTATTTCCTGTTAACGGATGCAGTAACTGAGGGCCTCAGAGAGCGGCACTCATTTGCGCACAGCTGATTTAGATGTGTGTATGATCTGAGAAGTGAGCAAGAAGCTGAGAAGTGGGCAAGTCCGAACCGGAACCCAGGTTTGTGCTCCTTACACGACACCAACAATCTGTCAAAGAACCTTGCAGGAGCTTTTGGTTAATTACCTCTTGATGCCTCTTCATTCATTCACTTATTTACTGAGCACAGCTGTGTGCCACGCCTACTCGACCCTGGGGAAACAGTAGAAAAAAGACACGGTACCTGCTCATGGATCTTATTTTCAGGAAAGGGAAGCAGAAAATGAAGAGGGAAAAACAGAGTTTGTGCATACTAAAAAGCAAATAAATAGGATGCTGAGGTAAGAGAATAACTGGGTGTGGGGGCTTTTTCCAAGTAGATTATCAGGGAAGGTCTCCCAGGCCGTAACCTTGAAGCTGAGACCTCTAATGAGAAGGAAATTGGAAATCCAAGTCTATTGGAAATCCAAGGGGATTTCTGAGCAGATGGAACAGCAAGTGCAAAAGTCTTAAAGTGGAAGTAAGGTAAATGTGGTCAAGGAGCAGCAAGATCATTGTAGCTGGAGCAGGGTGAGTAGCAGAGAGTGATAAAGGATGAGGTTGGAGAGGTAGGCAGAGGTTGTATCATATACACCCTTAGGGGTCATGGTGAGAACTTTGGGTTTTATTCTAAGCCACTGGAAGGTTTTAAACTAAAGAGTGATATGATCAAATTTATGTTTTCAAAGATAAGACTCTGCTGTATGGAGAATGAAATATTGGCAAGCGAAAGTGGAGACATGGAAAGTTATTTAAATGCTTTTGGAATAACCCAGATTATTATGAAGCTTGAACTAAGAAATTGGCAGTAAAGATAGAATAGATGGGTTTATGATATGTTTTGGAGGTAGAGTTGAAAGGGCTTCCTGAAGGACTCCACGTGGAAGATGAAAATAAGAAACAAATCGAGGGGACTTCCCTGGCGGTCCAGTGGTTAAGACTCTGCACTTCCACAGCAGGGGTCATGGGTTCGATCCCTGGTGGAGAACTAAGATCCCACATCCCACGTAGCACGGCCAAAAAAACGAAAACAAATCAAGAATAACTTCCAGGAGACTGCCTTAAGCAACTTGCATGGATGGTGGTGCCATTCAGTGAATGAAAGACTCAGATGAGAGTGAAAGCAGGGAATCCAGAGTTCTTTTTTATCTGGTTAATTTGAGGTTCTTGAGTAATGTACCAGAGAATAAGTCAAGTATTTGACTTATTTAGTTGTTCTCTTTGCTGGCCATACACCTACAGTACATTCCTCAACCCCCTTAAAGTGGCCATATGCCTATGCTCTCCCGCAATGGAAAGTGAGCAGAAGGGATGTGCACATATCCAGGCCTAGACCAGAAAATCTGTCAACAGATGCTCTTACTTATTACTCTGCCAGCTGGAAGATGATGACCAGGTTCTGGAGAAGGCAAGGCTTTAAGATGGAAGATAACCTGGGTGGAGGAGACTCTGCCCTGTTGACCTAAACACCCACTCAGCATTGTTATATGAGGAAAAAAAAAAAAAAAACCTCTTGTGTTGAGCTTTTATCTATTTACGTCTTTTTATTATAGCAGCTTTGTTTATGCTACCTAATACAAATAAGAACAGTGATCCAGCAGTGAACTTTGGGAGAAAACTTCAAAATGACTTGAATTGACATTATCTATAACAGTTAGGAAATAGAAGGTACCTTGGATTCATTCATTCATTCAGTAAGAATTTATCAAGTGCCTCTCTGTGCCGGGCACTGTGCTACATAGTAGAGATGCAGAGATGAAATCCCTGCCTTAAATGTTCTGAGTCTGGCAGTTAAACTTATTGGCTGTTATCTGCACATTACTATCTCTCTATCTAGAGACTTACTCTCCCCACCCAACACACACACACGGCCCAATTTCTACACAGTCTTCAACCACATTCAAAATACTATTTTATCAGAAAGAGTAGGCCTGACCCTTGGTTCAATCTAAAATAGATATTCCTATTACCTCATAATTTACTTCCTTGTACTTATCACAATTTTAATTTATATATCCACTTGCTTTTTTTCTTTAGTGTTCTCTCCCACACTAGACTAAATACTCTCAAGGGAAAGAACCTTGTCTGTATTATTGGTCACATCCCCAACAGCTGGCCCACTGTAGGTGTTTAATAAATATTTGTTGAAGGAATCAAGGAATGGAGAAGGCAGAGCCCTGAGGAAGGAGAGGTTTCCTCCATTTTTTCCATTTTTTTGCTGGGGAGGTAGTAGGTAGCCTAAGATAGCCTTCAATGATGCCCACCTCTGGGTATTCATGATCTTGTTTAATCCCCTCACCCTGCTCGTGGGCTGATCGAGTGACTTGCTTCTAATGATGGGATGGCATGTCTGAGATTAGGTTGCAAAAAGTCTGTGGCTTCCATCTTGGGTACCCCTCTCTCTCCTATTCTCTTGCTTATTTGCTCTGAGGAAAGCCAGGTCAAAAATGTGAGCTGCTTTATTAGTTTCCTGGGGCTGCCATAACAAACTACCACAAACTGGGTGGCTTAAAACAACAGAAATTCTCTACAGTTCTGGAGGCCAAAAGTCTGAAATCCAGGTGTCATAAGGGCCATGCTCCCTCTGAAGACTCTAGGGAAGAGTGGAGTCTTCCAGCAGTCCTTGGCATTCCTTGGCTTATAGGTACATTATTCTAATCTCTGCCTCCATCTCCACATGACCTTTTCTGTGTGCCTCTATGTTCTCTCTTCTTATGAGGACAGCAGTCATTGGATTTAGGGCCCACCCAAATTTAGTATGACCTCATCTTAACCTAACTAATTACATCTGCAGAGACCCTATTTCCACATTCTGAGGTTCCATGTGAACATGAATGGGGGAGGGGATACTAGTCAGCCCACTATAGTTGCCCAATAGAGGGCTCCATATGTCGAGGAACTAATGTCTCACCAACTGTCAGTGAGAACCTGAGGCCTGGCCAGTGGTCACATAAGTGAGCTTAGAATGAATCCTCACCTAGTTGAACCCTGAGATGATTGCAGCCTTGGCCAACAACTTGATTGCAACCTTGTGTACCAGGGGCACCCAGCTAAGCTGTGTCCAAATTCCTGGTCCACAGAAACTGTGAGATAATAACTGTTTTTAAAGCACTAAATTTAGGGGCAATTTGTCATGCAGCATAGATAACTAATACAGATTTTGGTGCCTGGAAATGGGGTGCTGTCATAACAACTACCTAAAATGTGGGAGTGGTTTGGAACCAGGCAGTGGACAGAAGCAGGAAAGATTTTGAGGAGTGTGTTAGAGACAGCCTAAATTATCTTGAACAAATTTAGTAGGAATCTGGACTTTGATGATGCTGCCAATGAGTGCTCAAAAGGGAGTAAGGAACATGTTATTGGAAACTGAAGGAAAGAGGATCCTTGTTATGAAGTGGCAGAAGGTTTAGCAATAGTATCATCTGCAAGTATGTGGAAAGAGAAAATGTTCCTAGTGAACTGGGTGATCTAACTAAAGCAGTTACCAAGCAGAAGGTGCTGCCTGGTTTCGTCTTGCTTCTTGTAGTAAAATGGGAGAAGAGAGATAAATTATTGAACAATAAGGAGTCAGGACTTGATGATTTTGAAATTTTTTAGTCTCTCTAGATGGCAACCAGGGCTAAAATTAAGCTATGGCTTTCAAGCAAAATCAAACCCAGGGTCCTGTAAGGAAAACATGATCTGTCTTTGTCAGTTCAGGCTGCTATTACAAAATATGTGGCCCTGCAGATGCATGTCTTCTCACATGCAAAATATATTCACTTCATTCCAACAGCTCCAAAGTCTTAACTCTTCAGAATCAACTCTAATGTCTAAAGTATCTAGATACTGTTGGACTTCCCTGGTGGTCCAGTGGTTAAGACACCATGCTTCCACTGCAGGGGGCATGGGTTCAATCCCTGGTCAGGGAACTAAGATCCCACATACTGTGTGGTGCAGTCAAAAAAAGAATAAAGCCTTCCTTAAAAAAATAAAGTATCTAAATACTATCTAAATCAGATATAGGTGACACTCTAGGTATGATTCATCTTGAAACAAAATTCCTCTCTAGCTGTGAACCTGTGAAACCAGATAAGTTATCTACTTCCAAAATACAGTGGTGGGATAGGCATAGGGTAGACATTCTCATTCCAAAAAGGAGTAATCAGAAGAAAGAAAGGAGTAATCAGAAGGAAGAAAGGAGTGATGGGTCCCAACCAAGTCCAATTCTAGCAAGGCAAATACCTTTAGATCTTAAGGCTCGAGAATAATCCTCTTTGGTTTGATGCTCTGCCCTCTGGATCCACTGGGTTGTGGTCCTGCCTTTGCAGCTCTGCCCAGGCAAGGGTCCTGCCCCCATGACTTCAGATGAAGCCTGTCTGTCCTGTTGAAACCAAGGTGATGGCCCTGATGATTTCTGAATTGCTTTTGGGATCATTCTTCCCCTTTCTTGAATAGTGCACATTCATAGCCAAGTAGCTTTATCATCCTGTCCTGTAGAATCAACATCTGAAAGCATTTCTTCCCATCTCAGTCCCCTTCAGCACAAACAGGCAGTGTTTCTGTTCCTATAATCTTATCATTTGATAGTCCATCCACACCCTTTAGTGTTCTCTTCCAAACACATTTGCTCATTTTTTGGGATATGGACAGGCTGAGAATTTTCCAAAGCATTAAATTCTGGTTCCCTTTGCTTAACAATTCCTTCTTTAAGTCATCTCTTTCCTTTCACATTTTATTGTAAGCAGTCAGGAGGAAGCAAGCTACTCTTCAAACACTTTATTTATAAATCTCTTCACTG